TATGCGTTTTTGCTGGCTGTAGCAGCGCTATAGCGCTGCACAGCAAAAACGCATAAAAATGAAAATCAACAAAAATCCAAAGCTGTCTGTGACAAGATCTCAAAACTGATAATCAGGGCAAAGATTGTTGTAAAAAAAATCAAGGCTGCTTCGACTAGACATATTTCAAAAGCTAAACTAGAAACGCCTTTTTAATTCAAAAATTTCTTGATGTTGAAGTGACATAATATGTTTAATCACCTGTCTCAAAAAATGATTCCCATACATATCTTCGTGGCACATGTAATCGTTTCGCTGTATCAACAAAGTTTTTTTCTGGCATGTACTAGCGTCACGGACTGCTTTCAAGATATCTACAAAATGTCTGAAAATATCCAGAGATTAAACGCGCAGCCCATCTAAATATAAAATAAATAAAAAGTATGCTGCTTCATAAAGTGGCTAAAACATTATATAATTCTATTGCAAGTTGATTAATTACCTAATAAAATCATCAGTACGCACAACATCAGCATGCGCCTCGATCAAAAAATCGAAATCCCATGACGCTCGAAAATATAGCAAATTTACGGCCTAAAATATGACCACAGGATAAAATTATCGAATAAAAACCAATTCAGGACACAGGCATACTCAGTTTCCAATCGAGTGGGCGTAAGGAGACAAATGAAAGACAGCGGCGGATTGTGGAAGTATGGAATAAATTAGAAAGCTTCAGTTTTGATTCCTATTGGATACAAAGTCGGTTCTGCCCTATTTCGATTCAAAATAGCACTTTTTTATAACGCTTCTGGGCCAAAGGGTTCGACCTAGTAATTTTCAATTTGATTTGTCGCATTTTTGGCTAAATTCTGTGCTAAAATAGTAAAATTTTTGTACATCTTTACCTAGATTTGTGCTCCTTTCGTTGACTTTTGTATTTCGTAGCCTTCTTTTTGATGCCGATAATTTCGGTGTCTCCGCCAAAGTACAAAGGAAAGCGCGTTCCTCGTCTCCCTCTCCCCTTTCTCCTCTTCGTTATTACTTCGCTTCTCTCCTTTTCCCTTGTTAACGTGTTGAACAACCTTTATTTTTCTAATATCAAATAGCTTTTTTGAAACAAACAAGCAAGACTCTGTGACCTCTGGATTTCACTGCACTACTAGCTGCGTGTAGAGTCAACCATTATGACCTGTCCGACGCCAGCCAGGAAGGTGTAAGGGGTAAAAAAGTGTTTCTTGGAAAAATCCTAAAAGTTCGTAGGATAAAAGGTTCATAAGATAGCCGGCACCGGAATGTCTCAAATTGGATTCAGACATGGGTGATAGTGTTACCGTGATCAACTAACTCTTTAAAACTTTTACTAATTGGACTGTAAAAGCATGCCTGCTGGATGTCCATTGCTTCCCGGAACAATTTTTTGGGGAACGGCGACGGAAAAAGCGTGAAAGGTGCTGTCTGACAAAGATCACTGCGACCTGGCGTTGCTGCCATTCTGATTACCATACCATGTGCCTGCAACATAACGAAATGTGTAAAACTTTGCTTTTTATGTGTTTTTTGCAGCTATGCAATGCAAAAACGCATATTGTCGAGGGGTTGTCTGTGTGTGTATGTGTGT